TTTTGCTGGTCAGTCAACTTTATGATAAATTAATCATAAAGGCAAGGGAATTCTGAATTAGTTAATTTCACTCTTGAAGGGAGGAATTATTTTTAAGCAATATATGGTGTTGAAATCACTGAGGAAAAATCAGCGATAACCACAATCAATTCCAGAAGCTCTATTCCGTCTAAATTAATCTAAACACACCTCTTCTCTGTAATCTTCTAAAAACAGCAGCAAAGGCCAGCTGAGCCAAAAAGTAAAATACTTTTCTGTTTCTTTTAATTTTTCAAATTAGGCTTTGACTACATGTGTGGATGTACTGCCATTTTTCCCACATTCATTAACACCACATTATTTTTCTATATTTCCAACACATGATAATTATGAATTGGATTTAGATATCATGCTTAGCCATGTTTAACTATAATTTCTTGAGTAACAATAAGTACAATAAGCTAACCATTAGGAAAAAAATTCTAATAATAAAAATAGCTTCCTGGTATGTGCTCCTGGGTAAATGTGTCTACAATGACAAAATTTATATTATAATCCTCAATAGATTTCTGAAGAGTAAACCTAATTAAAAACAAGAGGGCGTCCTCATGAATAAACACATCCAACACTGAAAATTCCTAAGTAGTGAATAATCAGGATTCCCTCCTTAACTTCTGATTCAGATAAAAAGAATCATGAGTCTCACTAATACAAATCAAGAAGAGATATTGTATTTGTAAAACTTGAAACAATGATTTCACAAAATAGCTGTCTCAAATCCCTTTGAGAGGGAAAAAAAACCCTTTCTAATTTCAGCCAGTCTGCAAGAAATCAAAAGGAACTCTACATATTCTGGGTGTTCTTGCTTTTGCCTGGATTGTTTATGTAAATTAATCAGCCAGCATTTGAAAGTTTGTTAAATTAATTTTAAGCGGAAAATCTGATTAACCTTCACAACACTCCGCTAATAACAATAGTTTGGGTGCTGCTCATGTTGAAGTATAAATAAAATATATCTCAGGTTTGCAAAATAAGTTAATTGCAAACTATGTGTTTTTACCCAGTGTTTCTTTAAAAAAAACTATTGCTAAGTAAAAACAGATAGCTCTGCAAATGGATTGATGCTATTATTATTTGCATTCAAAATTTAAAGGTCTTTCAGATTTCTTGATATATTCCATTTATACTTCTCCATAACTGCCAGTGGGTCTACAAAAGCCACTACAAAAGGAAATGTTCAATTTCAGATATTAAAGAAGAATCCTTATTCTTCATTACATTAGCATGAACTGCAATCTCATACGGTTTGGCAACATGAGTAAGAATTTCCTCATAACAAGTTCAATCTAGTTAAGCTGATATCACTCTCATGGCTTCCAATGAAAAGAAATTAAATAAATCTTTTTAAATAAATATTTAAGGTTAAGGTGCAATCTACTCAGCAGTTAGTCCCTTTGAGTTTAATTGGCTTTACTCTCAGGTGCAACCTGCAGAGTTAGAGGTTAAAAGTCTTGAACTTATATTAGTGGATTTGCAGCCTAATGGGCTTAATTTTGGTAGATTGTGCCAAATCATTCTGCTCACCAGGCAATTCATCAATAAACCAAATGCGTACAGATCTCAATAAAGTTTCAGTGCTTAAAGATTATTGAACTGGTAGATCCTAGTTTTAGGCTAACCACTGTCTTCATATTTTTGACACCCGGTTCCCCTGAAGACGCCCCTGCCATTTTCAACTGCCTGGTCTCATAACCAAATGGTCCATCTTCCAAAAACTACCACTAAAAATTAAAACAAGGATTTGATGCTAAGATTTACTCACTGTTACAGAATCTAGTTTTCTATATATAGCATATAACTATTTTAAATGGAAGCACATCATATGAGCCCTACCAGCAGCCTGGAATAGATAACAGCCTATGTCCAAATATGTCCAACTAAACTAAAATCCTATTGAGATCATTAGGAGACAAGCCAGTCATAAATATTGATTTCAGCAGGACTGTGATATAACTTTACTGAGTTGGTAAACCTATTTCTACAGCATTTTACTTCTGCCCTTCAAAGAATTAAAAGGAACAAAAAAGAAAGAACTAAAAAGGGATAAAAAAATAAAAATGCCAGAAAGAAGATGTACCATCCTAAGCTTCTGAATTATTCTGACAGATGATAGGTAAGTTGCATAAAGGGAACTATATCCTTCAGCAGTCTTGAATTTTATGGTCACTAAAGACCCCTGACATATAGGAACAGGTGCAAAGAATGGTAACAGCAAGAATAATAAAGAACAAGGACAGATTGCGGAACTGGACAACTTTAGCTTTGAGAAAAGATAACGAACAATTTTAACAGTCTTGCAACAGCTTAAAAGGTGTCACACCAAGGATGTCCATGATCCGTTCCTACAGTGAGCTTAAATGAATAAGAAGGCAGATTTCTATTAAATGTCAGCAAAACTTTTAAACCCAATTTGACACTAGAACTAATTTCAGAAAGAGGTGCTAAGCTTCCTTTCATTGGATAAACACCTGTCAAACACAGTTTAATTGGGATTTCTTTAGGAGTAAAGGACTGGGTTCAGTTATCTGAATGGCTCCTTCTAGTTTTATAATTCTAAACACTAGAGAGAGATTTCACTCAGCAGCAATTTTTCAGTCTAATTGGTAAAGAGTGAAAGGAAAACCTAAGAAGCAAAGAAAAATAAGCGATAGATATTGAATCGCTTGCATTTTGGTACCATAATAGCATTGCAAATATTGTATGTTTAGATAGTGCTATTATTCTCTGAGAATTCTAGCCACCCACGATATTCTAAAGTATTACAATTGAATTATTAAAATGTACATAATCTTGCTTTAAAAAAAAAATCAGTTTCAGTCGCCACAGGGAAAAGACAGAGCAGGCAGAACAATATAAATTAAAGATAGAACATTGCATCGTGTTAGTTTTTATTTTTGAACGTTTGTGAAACAGCTCTTCTGTTGTTTTGCAGTATATTTGATATTAATTAAGATGTACCGAGTACTTAGCTGGATATCGTACAGAAGAGATTTTAGGAGTGTTAGCTCACCAACTTATGGTTCTACTGATAAACAATAGCTACTCATGTATTAAATACATAATGGGTGGCTATGGAAATCAAATAAATAAATATTTAATCAATTTATTTTTGAAGTAACTTTTCAATTAAAAGGTTTATTTTAAAAGCCACCCAGCTTAAGTACAATTATGTAAAGTTAAACCCATTTAAATATTGTTATTTATTGCAAAAATGTTCTTTTTTTCTAGGAGCTCAAGGCACATCTTGGCAGATTTCTCCTCAAGTTATCCCTACAACAGCCCTGCAGAGTAGTCTGGTCTGGGAGAGAATAAGTGATCCAATGTCATCCACGTGAGCTCTACGGTTGGTTGAGAATCAAAGTACAGTTATGAATACTTAGGCTTAGTTACAGCGTAGTCCTGTGAATGTTTACTTTGCATCTTTCAATGCAAAGTCTTAGTTCCACATATATGAATGGAAGATTGTGCCCTAAGGTTAAGTCTCTTCAACTGAAATTAATGGCACTTCAAAGGATTTAATGGAAGCAGAATTGTTCTCCTTGTTATTAATATTAACAGACATACAGCACAAGCAGCCATTCATTCAGTTTCCTCAAACAATGAATGATTATTTCTCCCGGGGGTTGGGGGGGGCGGGTAAAAACACAGCAGTCTCTTTTAAAATGCTTTCCTGTTTTTAATAGATGGTACCTTAACACCAAACCTCTATTGTCCAGATTCACAAGAGAGATCCGTGGGGAGGGGAACAGAAGTATGCTGCCATTGCATTGTGTTCATTTAAAGGTTAGGAAAAAACAAATATATAGTCTAATCAGGACAGTAGAAGACAGCTCAATACTACATCAATGCTGAAGTTGGTTTTCAATAGGGCAAAATGCAAGTCTGATTGGACCAGAACATATTGCAGAAGACAATTTACAAGATTTATCAGGTGGGTGTCCCAGAGTACCAACAGCTGATGGTAAAATAAATTACTGTACATCACCTTGGTGTTAGTCATTGAAAACGTATCTTGATCCAGATTTAATATAAGAAAAAGGCTGATACACTAAAGAAATGTCTTAAAAAGAGACAAATACATCCCAAAACATTCCTATGAAGTAATAACTCCATTCTCTCATCGATATAGATACACAAGCATAGCTAAACTGTTCTGCATTCATAGTTTGCAAGACACAGGGTATGTAATACTGCAGAGAAAGAGAAAAAAAAGTCATTTTTTTGCCCAAAAAGAGGGTTGTGAAAATCATTGGAGGGTGGAGATCATTTTTAAACTTAGATATTGATCCTACAAAAGGAAACAAAAGCTAATCTCTAAAATTGAGAGTGAAAGAGTTGGAAAAGCAGAGGAGGAAGAGAGAACAATTACAGATTTCACAAAAAGGTTAATGCATTCTTGGTTGTTTCAAATTGGACTAACCACCAGTCCCTCACTCTCAGGTCCCAGGACGGGGCTTCGAATGCACCCTTAGAAATAGACCCTCCTTTGTATAAAACTCGCCACACTCTCCCTCAGTTTTTCATAGTTGTCAGTAGATTTAAACCCAGTCCTTTCAATACCATATGTTTGTGTAACCCACACACCCCAAAAGAATGAAATGTAAAGGTGCTATAATATATAATCTGAAACATTTGTGTATGTACATCCCAATAGTACAGCCTGAACCATTGATTTCAGGGAAGATTGTTTTATATTTGGTAGCACTGAGCAGTTTTCCCTTGTCTTCTCTGCTTGGGAAAAATAAGATGCATCTTTCTGATTGCAAGTACAAAAAAAAAAAAAAGTAAATGAAGAACGCAATTTAATTTGACATGCGTTTGAATACTGACGGGTCGGTTAGTTCTTTCATATATATTAGCAATAATCATCATTATCTTCAAGATTATAATAATAGCCACTCAAATATATACAAACACCAAAAAAAAAAAAAAGTCTTTTGGTGAGGTCCCCACAAACAGAAGTCAACCAAATCAAGACAATACCACTGTTTGCAAGAGCCCGGGAGTATCTGTTTCCAAACCCGATCTTTCGGGATGGGGATTTTGCGCTTCTGGGGCAGAAGGAGAGGGGATGCTACAATCCTGGGTGATTTTCCCTGGACTGGGTGATTCTTTTCCTTGGGGTATTTCACACGAATCCCCTGCCTGGGTGCTGGTGCTGGTGCTGCTGCAGTGGTCCCGTTCATACTCTTCTTGCGCCTTCTGCATTTTCCGCTTCTTCATCTTCCTCTTGTGGATGTGGAAAGTGATCAGGGAAAGAAGAATCAGGCAGCAGATGAGGGCGACCAAGACAATCAAGACAAAAGTGGACGAGAAGGACTGGAAGAACTGCCCCATTTGCGTGATGCAGGTGCTGCTGGCATTGGAAGTGCCAGATGTCCTATTCAAAAGGCAGGGGGGCAGGGAGAGGATGGACCCTTTGGACAGCTCCGCACTCATTGAGGAGGGTCGTTTCGCTTGGTTTCCTTCCCCCTAAAAGACGTCTTCTGCAGATGTCTCCACCACCGAGATGCTTGTCACCTTAAGCTAGGGAGGGAATGCCTGGCCCAGCCCTTCACACCTCCCTCATTTTTCTTTGCTAGAGGAAAGAAAGATTATAAAAATAAATAAAAAAAATAAACGTTCCGTGCCTTAAGCAAACCAAATACACAACACTGGATCCAAGGCAAAAAAAGAAAAAAGAAAAAAAAAAAGCCAAACCCTTATCATCACCATTTTTCATCCTTTCAGCCACAGTACGATTCCCACACCCCAAAAGGCACCATCTGTTATAGAGGCGATTTTCAAAGGTGAGAAATGCAAGGACTGCATTGGATCCATCCCGGCTGTCCTCCACACCCGAGAAAGAGAGAGCCCTTGCAAATTCGTAGGTCACGATTGCTGACTGTCACAGAGATTTAAATGTATAGACCCCAGCAATGACTCCCCCC